TGGTTAGCATTTTCCACCATTCAGTCTCCACATTTCTCAAAGACCAGAGTGCAAAGTAATTACAAGGAGGCCATTGGTCCTCACAGAAGAAAGGTCTCCGGAAGAAAATAAACCACTACATCATGCTCTCTGAAGCAACACTACAAACCCCAGAGCCCAGAAGGCAAGGCCATGGGCTGACAGCCCAGGAACAAGCCGATTTGTATGACTTTGGGCAGACCCATTGACTTCTCAGTACTTCAAGAGTACAGGTAAAGGACTATTATATTACTGTTCTGTGATTGATATCTTAAGAATCTCATGTTAGTTTTGGAGTTTCTTATTTACTTTCAGAAATTCAACTCAGTTCTGCTGCTGATATCAGCTTTTTAATTCATTTTACACCAAGATATTTGTTATCAGAAATTGTGCTTTGATATGTGTCAGGTTGATGGATTCAATAAAAGCCCTGTCAGAAGAAGTTGAGTGAACAGGGTTGCAAAAGTGGTGTCATCAAGGGAATTGAAACGTTAACTGCCAGTTTGCTGATCTTGCAGCAAAACATGCAAACATAATAGCCATTTTATTTCCTCACCCTGGCAAAATAGTTCAGAGAAACACTAGAAAATATTTGCATAAATATTACCCATACAAATGAGCTCAGCATGCTCACTGATAAAAAAACATATGTAAAAAGCAATCCTACATGCTGTCCTATTTTCCTATTTGGTGTGCAAAATTCAGCCAAGAAGAATAAAGACTTTATTCAAAATAAAGCTTTGAATTTAACATTGGGAATTCAAGCAGACATCCCATGATGCTCTAGCTGAACTTGTCCTTCAATAATGTAGGAGGACAATTTTACTGACACATTTTCTCCCACAACCAGTAGACCTGCACCCCTCATCAAGCCATTGGGAAGCTGCATTAAGATCTTGACATCCAAACCTAGAGGCACGTAAAATCAGCATTTGTTTCTGATTTCATAAATAAAATCACATAAGAAGCAAGACAGATTTGAAGAGAGAAATAATAACTTTTTATCAGACCACATACTATAGAGAGTGAGAAAAGGACACCTGCCCACCGCTTTGCTATAGGTCAAAAAGGACTCAAATATGCAAGCTCTCTGCTTCACCTGTACCAGACCATCACAGCTGCAACACCACCTCTGCACTGTCCTGTAATGCAAACAGATTTTTGTTAACTTGAACTGATTTACAGAACATTTGGGAATGGTAAAAAGTGTGATGTTGAGATTCAACTTTTTAAAAAAAGAGAAATAATATTACAGCCTAAACAAAGCAAAGGGAAAAGTTCCAAAGCAATTAATCTAAAAAAGGGGAATTACATTGAGGATTTATGTCCATGTAATGAAGACAATTAATTGCTATGAGATCCATAAAACACATTAAATGAACAGGGTTTTTTCCAATTCTACTTGCAAGATAAAATTTATTAACTATGTTTAATGGCTAGTTAAAATTTTTCTCTTACGTATTTATTAAATGTGCTTTTTCAGCAGAACAGAGCATTTTACTAACCGGATTCTACTAATCTAAAAAATGAGCAATTTAAGAAAAAAAAAAGTATTACTCTGCGTGTTATCTACAGATCTGTTTAAAATAATTCCTTACGCAATAAGATTGTCATCACCACAGTTGGGTAAATGCTGCTGAAAGGGAATCTGCTTGTCTCACACAAGAAAATGTTCTGCTGCAAAGATCAATGAGTTCAGCTAACATTATTTGGACATATGTTGCCAATTCCAGCAGAGACACGGAGCAAACGTGGGTCCTGATGTCATTTGGTGTTACTGTAATCACTTTAATTTAAAAAACCCTCTTCTTGGGAAAGCAGGACCACATGGAAGAAACTGGCTTAGATCATAGCAGTGACCTCAAACAGATCCACCTCCAAACTTCGTGCTTTGCCCTATAGGCTCAGCTGCTCAGCCAAGGCTATCTTCATGCCTCCAGCTGGAGGTATCATAGAATCATAGAATGTTTTGGGTTGGAAGGGACCCCTGGAGGTCATCTAGTCCAACACCCCTGCAGGAACAGGGACACTGCTAACTAGATCAGGTTACTCAGAGCCCCGTCCAACCTGGCCTTGAATGCTTCCACGGATGGGGCCTCCACTACCTCTCCGGGCAACCTGTTCCAGTGTTTCACCACCCTCATTGTAAAGAATTT